ATGATGTGTGCCCTTGAAAGATTTGTCTAGCCCTGCCCTTTCCAATTTCCCTCTTCCACTGGCTGGAATGTAGATGTGATAATAAGCCGCCCCTTAGGTGTCACCCTCTATCACATGGCCCAGAGGGTATACCATCATATGGTACATCTAATCACTATTATTTTGGGTCTCTACTAGAGTAGTCAAACCTGTAGCCCAATTAAGAACAGCAACGAAGAAAGGACAGGGGCAGAATCTAGATGACAACCACCACCACCACCATCATCACAAAGGACATCACTAAATCATTCCTGCTGCTTGTCCCTGTTGCCTGGGTACTCACTGGCACGCCATGGGACATGAGGGTGTTGGGATTCATGAGGGTGACAAGTTGGTGCAGGAGGTCAGGCTGGCTATCAAATAATTCAGGTGTCAGCTTCTTCATCACCTCTTCCAAATGTTCTGCTGCAAGTGAGGGCACCCCATACCAGGTCTTCGGCTCACCCCTGCACAAGTGGAAAAGGGATACACACAGTAAATCACACCTTGGTCATGCAGGGAGCCCACACTGACTTGATTCCCTGGCTCCCCAGGGCCCCACTCACCAGTGGAGGTAGTTAATGGAGTAACTCCAGTGATCCTCAATATGCCAGCAAAAGGCTGAGAAGACCATGCCCACGTAGAGCCAGGGCACCTTCATGCCAGAGATATCTGCATTGATGTGGCACAGTACAGACTGTTCCAACACCGGCATCACATTTAGGTTCCAACCACTGGTAGCATACTCCTGCCAGGTCAGGTATTTGTAAAAAGGGCATGAGGGTTATGCTAAGGAACTGAGATCTTAAGTCATTTTCTTTAGCCTAGGGAACCTTAATTTTGAGGTCAGAGACTTTTTTGAAACATCTTAAGAAACATATAGGTTTTCTCCCTACCTCTCCACCAAAAAGCATACATACAAAATTTCAATTCTATTCACTTCAATTTCTGCAAAGTTTACAGATATATCCATCTACCAAAATACCTGCAAGTTAAAAAAAGTCCTGCTCTGGATCAAAATGTACCCTTTCTTGGAAGCACAACTAAGCCCTCATTTTCTCCTGTGCATACAAACCCCACTCCCTGAACACTTCTTATGGATGAGCCAGGATCTCATATACCTTCTCATTTAATTTTTATAACAAATTTGCAAGGTAGATATTATCCCCATTTTAGAGATAAGGAAATGGGCTCACAGAGGTGAAAGAACCCATCTCATGTTTGTACATGCCAGGTACCAGACTGTTTTCTTTCATCTCATCTGAATCTCACGGCTACATAAGATTGGCATAATTATCCTCATCTTACAGAGATATTGAGTTTTTCAGATATTAAATGATTTGCCTAAGTTCACACAGCTGACATGTAACCATGATCATCCACTCACCTCCTCTTCAGGGGTTAGGTGCCGTTTACTGTCACTGACAGGGAAACCGCTGCCAAATTCTTTGGAATGGATGTCAGCTCCATACTCAACAGTCACATCTTCCTCAATGCTATTTACCAGCCTCCAGAACTCCTTCTCCACAAGTTCTGTGGGCACCATCTAGGGGAAGAAAGGTAGCAGCTGACCATGGCCCATCACACCCTGGACCCATTGACCCAGGTGAGCTTAGACCATCTGGCACCAACACCTATGATCCTAGCCCAACACTACCTCAGCCCTCCATCACCTACATGCACGGGCATGTTGAAGTAGTCAGCTTTAAAGGAGTCAGCCATCTCGCCAAAGCTCTGCAGAGTGTATTCCCGGGTAGCCTGCTCAAAGCCAAAGGCTTCTGGGGGCCGCTTACACTCCTAAAACCCAAAGGAGAACATGTCACCAAAAACAGAGGCAAGGAGGTGAAGAATCCTCACAAGTGGAACTGGAATATAAGGGGTAGGGAGGGAGAAGAGCCCTAGGTCTGCACTCAAGGCCCCTGAGGCAGGCCTTACTTTATAGCTGTACCTTTTGCTCTTACCACACTTCGGCTTAGTCTTTTCATTCCCCATCATGCTTTTTTCGCTCAGTTCCTCCCTACTGAAATGTCCTTTTCCACTTTCTTTCATTGGTTCTTCAAAACTCAATTCCAGTCTCACAACTTCCAGGGAGTCATCTCATGCTCTTTTCTTCCTTTAGGACTTTATCTAAATGGCTCTGACTTTAATATGCTATCCGGTGTTCTTCTGCCACCATTTTTCCTCTCTCACTAAAATGTGATTCTATTTTTTTTTTTTTTTTTTTTTGAGACAGAGTCTTGCTCTGTTGCCCAGACTGGAGTGCAGTGGCACAATCTCAGCTCACTGCAACCTCTGCCTCCCAGGTTCAAGCGATTCTCCTGCCTCAGCCTCCCGAGTAGCTGGGATTACAGGTGCCCGCCACCAAGCCTGGCTAATTTTTGTATTTTCAGTAGAGATGGGGTTTCACCATGTTGGCCAGGCTGGTCTCAAACTCCTGACCCTGTGATCCGCCCGCCTTGGCCTCCCAAGTGCTGCAATTACAAGCATGAGCCACCATGCCCGGCCTCTAAAATGTGATTCTATGCAGGATGCTTAGGGAAGTTTTTTTATGCCCAGACTAGAACTATACGGCTGGGAAAATGGCAATGAATATCCTAGCACCTTGAAAGATGGAAAATGGGGCTGGGCATGGTGGCTCATGCCTGTAATCCCAGCACTTTGGGAGGCTGAGGCGGGCAGATCACCTGAGGTCAGGAGTTCCGAGACCAGCCTGGCCACCACAGTGAAACTCTGTCTCTACTAAAAATACAAAAACTAGCCGGGCGTGGTGGCAGGCACCTGTAATCCCAGCTACTCAGGAGGCTGAGGCAGGAGAATCACTTGAACCTGGGAGGCAGAGGTTGCAGTGAGCACAGATGGCATCACTGCACTCCAGCCTGGGTGACAGAGCAAGATTCTGTCGCAAGAAAAAAAAAGGAAAAAGAAAGATGGAAAATGAAGACACTGGCTTTTACAGTATAAACCCTCCACTACTTCTGTTCTTGAGACTGTCTCAGAAGACAGGATGTGGGTCTACCTCATTTGTACCTATGTTCATTATTTTAGATGAGAACGATATGTACCCCAAAATCAGACACACACCATGCTTATGTTTGAAAAATAAATGTCAGTCTGATCCACTGACTTATAACCACTTAGAGAGTCAAGTAGAGTCGACAGTCTTGATACTGTTGGTATCCAAACTCCTCCCCAGCTGGAATCTCCACCACTACCAAGGCCAATATGCACTGCCCTGATTTTTCCTCATCTGTGTATGTCTGTGTGTGTGTATGTATGCATGTGCACACCTGGTCTCTACAATCACAGTTGAGTCCCTAAGATAAGGCGAATGTCTGCTCTCCAGAAATCCAGAGGGAAATGTAGAAGATAAGCACCAAGAATTTGGGTGAAGGTAGGAAGTTCATGAAATGTACCTGCCCAACTTCCTGGCCACTTGGCCCTTACTGCTGCTTCAGCTGCTCTCCTTACTGCTCCTATACCCATAGTAGGCATGCTCTCCTACTATACCTCTGTTCCTGCTAGTCCTCCACCTCCCAGTCCTGAACAGCCACCCACCTCTCTAGTTAAAGCCTGTATCACTGCCTCAGTCTAAATATAACAAGAGGGAAACAACTAAATAAATATTATACCCATGATATACCATCCAAAAAAAATTCCAGACCTTGATTAAACTTAATAATACAGAGAAATGGTTATAAAGTAACAAATGAAAATATATAACATGATCTCAAACTTGTTATAGTTACATATAAGTAACAGCAAAAAGATGAGAAAAAAATATACCAAACTATTAACAATGGCTATCACTGGGTAGTGGGAAGGCAAGTAATTGGTCTATTTTCCAAAACGTCTTTTCTTCTTTTTTTCAGACAGGGTCTCGTTCTGTTGCCCAGGCTGGGGTGCAGTGGCATGGTTTCGGCAAACTGCAACCTCTGCCTCCGGGGCTCAAGTGATCCTCCCACCTCAGCCTCCCAAGTAGCTGGGACAACAGGCGTGCGCCACCATGCCTGGCTAATTTTTGTATCTTTTTTGGTAGAGACGGGGTTTCGCCATGTTGCCCAGGCTGGTCTCAAACTTCTGGGCTCAAACGATCCGCCCACCTTGGCCTCCCAAAGTGCTACGATTATAGGCATGAGCCACCATGCCCAGCCTCAAACTTTTTTTTTTTTTTTTTTTTGAGACGGAGTCTCGCTCTGTCGCCCAGGCTGGAGTGCACTGGCCGGATCTCAGCTCACTGCAAGCTCCGCCTCCCGGGTTTACGCCATTCCGAGTAGCTGGGATTACAGGCGCCCGCCACCTCGCCTGGCTAAGTTTTTGTATTTTTTTTAGTAGAGACGGGGTTTCACCGTGTCAGCCACGATGGTCTCGATCTCCTGACCTCGTGATCCGCCCGTCTCGGCCTCCCAAAGTGCTGGGATTACAGGCTTGAGCCACCGCGCCCGGCCCAAACTTTCTAAAAAAGAAAAAAAAAGAACAAAAACTCAGAATTTGAAAGAACATTTTTTTCTTAATATTCCTATCCTTCGGCTGGGCACGGTGGCTCTTGACTGTAATCCCAGCACTCTGGGAGGCCGAGGCGGGTAGATCACGAGGTCAGGAGATCGAGACCATTCTGGCTAACAAGGTGAAACCCTGTCTCTACTAAAAATACAAAAAATTAGCCAGGCGTGGTGGTGGGCGCCTGTAATCCCAGCTACTCGGGAGGCTGAGGCGGGAGAAAGGCGTGAACCCGGGAAGCGGAACTTGCAGTGAGCTGAGATCACACCACTGCACTCCAGCCTGGGTGACAGAGCGAGACTCCGTCTCAAAAAAAAAAAAAAAATTCCTATCCTTCAAGTGTCATTTCTGACATTTTCCCTGATTATTACCCTTAGCCATTTTCCTCTCCTCTGAACTTGTTTATCTCAGAGCTCCTAACACACAATTTAGCCTCTGTTTATATGTCACCACATACAGTCTAATTGTGATGCTTACCTCTCCAGGTGGTCTGGCAGCTCTTAGAGGACAAAAGCAGAGGCCGAATCTCCTGCTCCTTTCTCCCAAAGCTCTGCCCAGCCTAATCCCACCACAGAGACCCAAAACCTAAGACTATGGCTGAGCTAAGAAGCTGCCCTCAATAAGGCCAGATGAAGGAAGGCAAGAAAGCCCTATGACGCAGATGTGGAGTGGGGAGGCCTTACCGCCATGACACACTTTGGGCACCGCCAGACACCCTTGGGGATCTCAGGCAGAGGAGGCAGCAGGCAGAAGATGTGGTAGTTGTCATCACAGCCATCACACAGCAGGAGCTTGTCATCCTCATCCCCTCGAGAACACATCCGGCAGACATATGACTCAATCTGCCAGGGGAGAAGAGCAAAAGTTCTCCATTGGAAATCCACTGTGTTTGCTGGCTGAATGATTTACAGTCCTGTACAAGCTAGCCATGCTAGGTCTGGAGCTCAACTGCATGTATGTACCCTCCCCAAATAAGCAGGTAGAGCTGCGAGACCAGTCTTTTATCATCCAGTCTTGAATCCTCCCATTTTTATTCATTCAATAAACACTTACTAAACCCATGTTCAGAACTACGCTGGACTCTAGCACAAAAACAAGACATGGTATCCTTCCAAGTATATACAGTACTCTAGAGACATGTGTTCATAAAAATTAAAAATTGCCAATAGCGGTCCATAAAGGGCACTGTGGAGCCTAGAGAAGGAAGCACTCAAAGCAGCTGGAGATAAGGGGGGATAGCCTTGAGAAAGGACTTCATTGAAAAGGTGACACCTGAAACTGGCTGAAACCTGAAGGCAAAACAAAACTTGGCAACAGGGCAGAGAACAGGGGGAATCTCTTCCAGGCTGAAGAAACAACATGTGCAAAGGATAGGGATGAAAAAGCATAGTGCATCTTACGGGGAAAAATGAACATACCTACAAGGAGTTCAGTGTGGCTATAGCAGAGGAGTGAGGTGGGCAGTGCTGGGGGATGAGGCTAGAGGTCAGCAGGGACTGGATCATGCATGGCAATGAGGAGCTTAGCCTTTATCCTGAAGCAATGGTGAGGCTCCTTCTCTGGACCCTTCCAGCACTTCATGTTGACAGCACTTGATCACCCTTTCTTGCTCTTTGTTCCATGTGAGTTGGCTTTGTTTCCCCAATTAAGGAAGCTAACTGAGGGCAGGGCCCATGGAGGCCCGCTTTTGTGGTTAATGCGACCTGGTCCAGTGCCATGCAGGGGAATGCTTATTGAAGGGACGAGAAGCAGAGCATTAAGAAGTCAGGGCTGGGTCCTTACAAACTGGGCATTGCTGTGGTTCCTCCGCAGCCTCATGGTCATCTTGGTGCAGGGTTCAGGGCTGTGACTCAGCTCCTCCTTGCTCTCCAGGAAGGTCTTAGGCGAAGTTGACTCCACCTTCACATCCCCACCTAACTCCTCCTTCACCACTACTGTGGGGGGACACTCGGGCCCCTCCTTATCTGGGAGAGAGAAAAATGGCTGTAAACAGAGGTCTAGGACACTTAGGGCCCTGACTTTTCTCCTCAGGTGAGGCCACCCCAGCCTGTTAGGACTTACCTTTCTTCCGCAGAGTCTTGTCCTTGGCCATGAGGCCCAGGCCCATCATCTTGGGGCCTGCCCCATAGATCTGTAGCTTTTTCAGCTCTGGATTCTTTTCAATGTCTTCCTCTGTGGGTTCCGGCTGGAAGGAAAGAAGGAAATGAATCAAGACTGCTATCTGGGGCAGACTGTCCCATCCTAAAAGAACAATAACTCAGACTACATATCACCTGATATGCTGGGGGCTGAGGCACAGATGGGCTAAGCCAAGAACTCAGTGTTGCTTTTTGGAGACTGAGGGTAGGTGAGCTGCCTCCTCGGCCCTCTCTCGGAAAGGAATAAAAGACAGGATATCTCAGTTTTCCCAACTGTAAAATGAGAATATTACCTCCTCCCTTATAGTTATGAGGGGGGTTAGGGATAATATATATGAAAAAGCTAGCAGTGTTTGGCATTACCAACAAATGGCAGTGACTAATAGGATCTGCTAAATTACATGCTTCATTGAGCCCAGGGAGTGTCCATCTTGTTCTCTGTTGTATTCCCAGTGCCAAGAAGAATGCCTCGCACATAAGCTTCTGCTTGAAGACATAGCCATAAGGAGCTGGGAACAGTGGTACACACCTGTGGTCCTAGCTACTCAAGAGGCTGAGGCGAGAGGATCACTCAAGCCTAGGAGTTCAAGATTATAGTGCACTATGATCAAGCCTGTGAATAGCCACTGTACTCCAGTCTGGGCAACATAGCAAGACCCTATGTCTCAAAACAAAACAAAAGACACAGGTATAAGGAGAAAGAAGAGTTCTACTTCTATGAGCAGAGTGAGTCTGGAAAGGAACAAAACAGGCAAGAAGAGCAGACATACAAAAGAGGCTGCACAAACAGATCAAGACCCAGCTCAGCAGCTCAGCTGAGAGGGGAGAAAAAAGCAAAAGTGAAGCCAGAGAGAGGCACACACTAACGCTCAGAAGAACTCAGAGAACAAAAGAAGGGATAGTGGAACAGGGAACACAGCCTTAGCCAAAGGGAAGGAAAGGACTCCCTCCACCTCAAAGCTCTAAGTTCGAAGAAGGGGAGTACTCACATCAGGCTGCAGTCTCTTGGCCCGCCGGCCATAGCTGTTGAACTTGGAAGGCTGCACAGACTGTCGTAGGGGGATGCTGTGGGGTTTGTATTCCTTGTCCTTCTCCTCATTATCAAATGGACGTGTGTTACACTGCTGGGGACAGGTGAGGGGTAAGGGTCAGGACATGGGACTCCAGCCCGCAAAAGCAAGAACTTCCCTCTACCCTCACCCAGTGGCATCCAAAGTTGTGGTCCACTCACCTGACCCAAGCACACACTTTGGGAATTCTCAGTGCCTTTGCTTGTATCACTCCTCCCTTCCAGTCACTTCCTCCACCAACCAACCATCTCCCCAACTAAATCAGACGCCATCTCTTCCCACACCTTCTAGCCCAAGCTCTCCCTTATCTGATTTCTCTATCAGTTAAAACTTTGTCACATAACAAATAAGCTAGCTGTACAGATAACTCCAGGACCTCTGACCCTGAGCAGTGCAGAAAGAGAACAAGCATCACTAGGAAAGAGCAGAGTCCAACTCCCAGATCTTCAGTCCGCTAAACCAGTTTCATTAAGAGCAAGTGTGGAAATCTGTGCTGAAGGGTAAAGCCGCGCCCTGCCCCACTTTGACATCCTTACCACAAGGTTGGCTCCAGATTGGTACATTTCATAGGGATAAACAATGCGTTCGTAGTGGGAGCGTAGCAAGGAGCCAATATTTTTGCCTGGTGGGTAGTTGAGGCGCTGGGCTACCCGAGCCCACCGACGGTCCTTGCAGATAGCTTCATAACCACCTTCCTCCACCACAATCTGAAAAAACAAGCAGGAAAAGACATGGATATGCCATGTGTATTTTTGTGAGGGAGTAGGCCTGTAGAAAGGGCAAAAGGGCAATGAGGGCAACTCTAGTCCCTCACTTCACAGGAGGCTATCCCCTTATCCCAATCTCAAATTGCAGCAAAAGATTCCAAGATGTTCTCATGACAGCTTGTGTGCTACCAAGCTGTGCCCCTTCCATTGCAGCCTAAAGATCTAATATTCAAACTAAGGGGGCCCCCACAGTACCAAGGATATTGGGGTGAGGTGGGGGGTGCTTGACAAAAACCTGTTCTTACTTTGCTGAGACTGTAGAGGTCCAAGATCCGCCGTTCTACATTGGGAATCTTTAAGGAGGAGCCCTGGATTTCCCAGAATTTGGCAATCTGGTCCAAGTAGTTCAGTTTCACTCTCGTCTGGGCCTGAAGAAAAAATGGCTCAAAGAGGCTGGCCACCCCCTCCCACTGACCACTATCTTTGGGTCCAATCTTAGGGGAGAACAGAGGAATACAGCAGTCCACACTTTCACTACCCAGGGCTTCTCCCAATGAACCGGATCCCAGACTCTAGGCAGTGCTTAGCCCCACCTCGTTCTCACTTCTTGTTTTTTTTTTTTTGAGATGGTCTTGCTCTGTCGCCCAAGCTGGAATGGAGTGGTGCAATCACGGCTGACTGTAGACTTGACCTCCTGGGCTCAAGTGATTCTCCTGCCTCAGCCTCCTGAGTAGCTGGAACTACAGGCGCACACCACCACGACCAGCTAATTTTTGTATTCTTTGTAGCAATGAGGTTTCACCATGTTGCCCAGGCTCGTCTCAAACTCCTAGGCTCAAGCAATCCATCCACTTTGGCCTCCCAAAGAGCTGGGATCACAGGCGCAAGCCACTGCACCCAGCCACTTCTCTCTCATTTGTCACCTTCTAGTCAATCAGAGAAGCCCAAGTCCCAATAGAGAGGGTCACAACTGCCAAAAGCTTTAGATATGTCCTCTGTCAATCTCCCTGACAGGGTCATGTGAGTATTATCATTTCCTCTACAGATGAGGAAACAGAGGCTCAGAGGAGTTAGGTCACACAGCAAGCATCAAGATATTTTGGTGCCACATAACTTGAGCTTTGGCTCTCCCTCTGCTACTTATTTGTTATATTGTCTTGAGCAAATCAGTTTCACTGTGGACTCCTTTTTTCTTTTATTAATAATTATAAATGGAAAATAACTGCACAGTCCACTTACCCCAGAGGGGTAGACTTAATGAGGGGAACAGTGAAGATCCTCTGCAAATTTCAGAATTATATCTAAGCTCTAGGCATGTTTCAGAGAAAGAAAGCTCCAAAAAGGCACACGCACCTCCTTATGTACCACCAAACTTGTTCCATGGTGGCTGAAGGGTGAAAGTGCATGCTATAATTATAGACAGAATGGCCTAGAACTAAGAGATGGTATATCAGAGTAGCACTAGCACCTGGCCAACCCAGGACCCAATGTGGGCCAAAGAGACTAGGAACAAGATATGTATCATGCTTCCCTGAAATCTCAGTAACCAAGAAGGACTCCCATAGGCCCCAAGTCTATAACCTCCTCACTCCAGTCAGAGGGCCTGGTTCTTGGAAGAACTAGATAGTCACTACCATTCACTACCTTGCCCTGATCCCATTAGGGGGAACAAAGACAGCTCTTTCCATTTCATAGCTGAGAAAAACTAAGGTCTATTTGTGCGAAGAAACAAGCTACAGTTCCTCAGCTGTGAGAACCCTCAAAGGGCAAGGAAGTGCTCCCTCGACCTCAGCCCCTTAGCTTTCTGAAGTTGGCCTCATCCCTGCTCCTTCTCATTAGCCAGCACTCCCTCTATAGAAAACCTGCCCTTGTGTCATGCTAGGCAACATCTTGCCCAAGCTGTACCCCTATAAACCTGACGAGATATATTTTTCTTTTCTGAGATGGGGTCTTGCTATGTTGCCCAAACTGGTCTTGAACTCCTGGACTCAAACAATCCTCCCACCTTAGCTTCCCAAACTGTTAATAGTGCCGAGGCTGAGGAACTCTGGTCTAGAACACAAGTGAACTTTTAGGGTGTAAGTATTCAGCTGGGCCTGGGCCTAATCCCCACCCCTTGGACATCTAGTAAGATTTGTGGGTACATAATAATGGGGGA